TAATGACGGTACCCACTTAAGATCGTTTGGTAGATGGGGTAACAATAATGGTGAGTTCCAGTACCCTACAGGGATCGCTTTTGATCGTCATGGCAATATTGTAGTGACAGACTGTTATAACCACAGGGTGCAAGTCTTTGATAGGAATGGTAACTTTCTTAGTAAGTTTGGTGAAAAAGGAAGCCTTGATAATCACCTTAGTAACCCTGCAGGTTTATCAATAAACGGTAACGGTGATATTATTGTTTCTGATCCGGGTAACAAATTAATCAAGATATTCTCTTCTAGTGGGGAGTATTTACGTAAATTTGGTGGAGCAGGTTCTTTGGTCAAGCCCTATCACTGTATACAACACGGTCAATATTTTATAGTCTCAGATGCTGGTGACCATTCCATTAAAATGTTTAATCTGGAGGGAAAGTTTATTTCTAAATATGGAAAACAGGGGAACAAGGATGGAGAGTTCAATCAGCCCTTTTGCTTGTCAGTTAACAAAGAAAGATTGCTAATGGTCTGTGATTCACAAAATCACAGAGTTCAAGTATTTGAACTGAGTGGAAAGTTTGTTACAAAATTTGGAAGTGAAGGTAGCGGGAGAGGAGAGTTGAAGTATCCATTTTCTACAGCAAATCTTAGTGATGGAAGAATAGTTGTGTGTGACGATCGAATCCAGGTATTTGAGCATACATGAAATAATTTATAACCTGCCAATACAACCGTCTTTCCTCGCCCCTCGTCGTTAGGGACCTTTAGCGGAAAACGTCTCTGCCGCGAAACTTCCTAATAGCGGCGATGAGCGAGGAGAGACAGCTGTATTCACAGCGGGCTTGAAATAATCCTGCCTTTGATAAAGTAAGACTTGAGATTCAGGTCCCGCTGTTATACATTGATCATTTAAGCTCCACAGTTCATGTTTCTGGAGGAATCAATTTTGAGCGATTATTTTGTTAAGACATTTTGATATGTCGAAATTGGTTTATTATGTTCTACTTGTAAATATATTTTGTCCATAAATGATATGGAACAGTCCACTGTCGCGTAAAAGTTGATTTTACGCCGGCGCCAGTTTCCTTACATTGCCTTTATTTACGCGTGTAAATACAATGCTCAGAAAAAAAAACTGGAGCATATATTGAATTGACTAGTTCCAATTAATTGAGATAATTTTCTCTTACATTGTAATCTCACATAATTACTAAATAAATTTGCAAATACTTTCATATCTAGAAATATTATACTGTTTAATATTTACATACATTTTTGAAAGTTTGATTTTTTAATGGGTTTTAACCTGTGCAATAGCAAGGACAGCCTGAGTTGTCAAAGTTTGTAAGTAAACGGCTTATTTTTACTTACCTTTTTTCAGTAGTAGCAGACGTACATATTTCTCAAAAAGCAAAATACTCTTTCGCTGTAAATAACTCAAGTGGATTATGTTTTGTCTAAATAAACAACAGTGTAAATGCTATGTTCCTTGTATTCAATGTCTCGTTATAGTCAAAGGCGGATTTAGGGGCGGGGGAGGGGGGAAGAGGAAGCCGCGACCGCTCCTTTTTTCTTTGAAATTTTGTATCATTTTTAAAGAATTCTCAATTTATATAGCTGGCAAGTGTCCCGGCCACCCCTTTCTTAATTTTCTGGATTCGCCCCTGCTAATGTATGCTATAACCTGCGCAGGAAAGTCGACAAGGCCACTTAACAGCTAGTCTTGCTTCTTGTGTCACTTGAGAAAAAATAAACAAATTTAGCAGTGGCGTTGGAAATTGGTGAAGGCCACGTCTCCCATTTTGTCTCATTTATTACTGCCGGCCACCCAAAAACAAGGTGCAAGTCTTTGGTTGGAATGGTAGTTTTCTTTATAGTAAGTTTGGTGAAAGACTTAATGACCAGCTTAGTGAACCTGAAGGTTCATGATGAAGGTGAAATTAATCGAGATACTCTAGTATAGAGGAGTATTTGTGTAAATTTGGTGGAGCAGGTACTCATGTTTGCCAATCCCTATGACTGTATCCTACACAGTCAATATCTTATACAGTTGAAACTCAGGTCTGCAACGGAAACCTTGGGGACAGAAGAAAGTGGCCATTGCAGAGAGATGTTCGTTGTAGAGGCTGAAATAACAGTAAATGTATAGACATTTCCCCTAAAAAAAATGGTCGTTGTAGATAGGTGGCCGTTAGTGGAGGTTGAAGTGTCTGAAACTTTTTGTTATCATCTCATTAAAACGTTTGATCCTCAGGGAAACTTTTGTAAATTTGGAAAACGGAACCAAGGATGGAGAATTCAACCATCCTCGTTCCCTGTAAGTTAGAAAAGCAGGATTGCTTATGGTCTGTGATTCCACTAACCACAGAACTCAGGTGTTTGAACTGTGTGGAAAGTTTGTTACAATTGGAAGTAAGGGTAGTGAGAAAGGAGAGTTTATGTTTCCAAGTTCAACGGCAAATCCCACTGATGCAGAGGGATATAGTGACATGCATAACTCCGCAGTCACCTTAATATAATAACAACTGGTAAATCCATGTTGGAAATTATAGTGTTCAATTTGTAAATACGATTTTGTCAGCGTGATTTTTGAATGCGTGCTAACCTGTTCAATAGCCCGAGGCTCACATTTCTCTACCAAACGGGAGAGGGGGGTTACGTCATTGTTGCTTAGTAAGCTCCCTATTACAAAACTCTCTGGCTAGACAACACTAATTTTTGCATATTCGTTTAACACGAACACACCACAAGAGAAAATTACTTGCCCCGAGTGCAGCAGACAGAGTTTCAAATCCCTGGAAGTGGAAATCCCAGCGAACGTAAGTTTGGTGGAGCAGGAGGTGGATGTAAATTGGTCAGTTCCTATCACTGTATCCAACACGGTCAATATCTTATAGTCTCATCGTACAGTGATCGTTCCATAAGAATTTTTAATCTTGATGGAGAAATTATTGCTAGATTTGGAAAACAGGGAGCAGGGATGGAGAGTTCAATAGACCATATTACTTGTTGGTCAACAAAAAAGGATTACTAATGGTCTGAGTGTGACGAAAGAATTCAAAGGCCCAGTCAGGTATTTGAACTGAGTGGAAAGTTTGTTACACAGTTTGGAAGTAACTGTAGCTAAAGTGGAGAGTTTAGGAATCCAGTATGTAAAGCAAATATTGGTGGTGGAAGCATAGTTGTGTGTGATACGAATAACGGCCGAATACAGGTGTTTGATTATGGATGATACGATTTTACCTTTGCTGTAATACTTAAGAATGTGAACTACCAGGAGCCATGAGATCTAGATTTTATTTTTGTAAAAGAAAACAATTTTGTGAGATAATTTTGGTATTAAATCTTATGATATCGAAATTGGTATAGTACTGGCGTGTGCGATGTGAAGGCTGGAAGGAAGGGACAATGAAACACTTCCCCACTCCTCCTCTTCTACTCCATTTTCAAGCTATTTTCGCGCCTTAACCACCCTACCCTTCCAAAAAAAGCACCGTGTTCATAGGCTGCCTACCCTATGATCTCATGACATTCAAGAAAAGCGAGTAAACAGACATCATGGATGAGGATAGAGATCGCACGAGGTTTTTAGGACTGACCACTCAGTTGTTGTCCTAGTGTAATTTAAACCCAGTCCCAACTGTTCGTGGTAACGCCCTACAAAGGCGTCAAACAAATTTTAAAAAGAAGTGAACAGTCACTCTCGAAAACTGTGACATGGTTTGAAATATTGCACTTTAATTTCTGACACGTGATTCTTCTTCTCTCTTTGTTCATCTACGTGTTAAAGACGTGATAAACTGTCGTTCATAACAAGCCATTCATATAATTAAACGCGCCTTAAAAGCCTGAAGCAAAACCAAGAAACAAATAATCACACACACACAAAAAAAAACGCTGAAGATAAACTTAAAAGAGAAATTTAATGTACTTTTCGCTCTTTTAATAGGCAGAATAAAATAAATCGATTCTCGTGCGACGTCTTGCAATTGGTGCTAAATTCATATGAATGATAACTTTGTCAGTTTGAGTAGGCTAACTTAATTTGCCTACTCTGGATCTCGATCTGATAGTAAGTTTGGGCTACCTGTGGCTTTATAAATATTTCCAAAAGTTTATGCTTTGTAAACAGATTATCAGTTCTCAGAAATAATGATTATTTTTGGATTCTTCATGTCGTCAAAACTCAAAACACGTCAAGGCACTATTTGATTGATAGCCAAAATAAAGTTTAGTCTGGGCCAAAAGACAAGATCTCTTTGGCGATTTCTGAGAACACCAAGCGACTGCACCTCGGAGTATTTCCAGACTTAATTTGTGTCCCACTTTTTCCATGGATTTAAAGGTCTTGCTGGACAACCTTCATGATGAAGTATCCTGTTCTGTGTGCATGTTCCTATTCTGGAGTATGTAATTTGAACAGTATCAGGGATGACTTGGCCGAAGGTTGATCCTCGAGACACAGGGATTAACTACCACACATGCACAATCTTGGACAAAATAGACGAAAAAATTAATGCGTCCTCTCTCCTGTAAAATAATGGATGAGGATTGGGGATATAATGGCGCGTTCCGGCTTTCGCGTGGCTTTTTTGCTCCTGATCTTTGAGCCAACGGGGACTTGATTTCCCAGTTTATTCATTTCTGTCCAAGGATTGAACACGTGTCGGTAACGTGTTGAGGGTACACAAATATTCCAACAATTTCAGTAGTCTATGCTTTAGTCTGCCTAGCAAACGTTTCCAAATGAATTAGAGAGAGAGAGAGCTCTTTCATTCCTCTTTTCTGCTCTCGCTCAGATTTTTTTGCCGACCTTGCGCGGAAACTATTGCCGCAGGCAGGTTATCCATGCTTCAAAGAACTGATTAAAAATTCTCGGAAATACAGGATGTTTTTTAATCTTCCGTCAAACCATCAAAACATGTCAAGAAACGCTATTTGATTGGTTAATGATACAGAGTTAATTACGTCTGGATGACAAGACAAAACTTCATTGTTCCCTTTCAAAGCCATTCCCTAAATCGTCAACAACTAGGCCGAAATTTTTGAAAAGTAACCTTGTTTCCGACCTTTCCATGGATATAAAGACCTTGCTGGACAATCTTCATGATGAAGTATCCTGTTCAGTGTGCAAGTGCGCATTCACTGATCCTAAACAGTTGCCTTGTTTGCACAGTTTCTGTCTTCATTGCCTGAACGGAATTCAACGAACGAGCGGCGTCCATGGCAAAATTACATGCCCCGAGTGCAGGAGACAGTTTCAAATCCCTGGAAGTGGAAATCCTAGCGAACTTCCCACCAATTTTCGTATTAACAATTTGCTAGATGTCTTGGCAATAAAAGAATGCAATACAACTAACGTGAAATGTGGAAACTGCGACAAGCGGAGCGCCCAGACCTTATATTGCTTCCAGTGTTGTTCTTTCTGGTGCGAGGAATGTATCTTAGGACATAACATGCTACGCATCAATAAAGAACACAGAACGCTGGCACTGAAAGATTTTCAAGATCAAGACATCGAGGCCGTGTTAAAGAGACCGGCATTTTGTCAGAAGAAACGACATGAAAAAGAAGAGTTGAAATTCTTTTGCAAGGACTGTGAGGTCGCCATTTGCAACACTTGTGCTGTAACACTCCATGAAGGTCACGGAAAGATGCGTTTGGAAGAAGCTGCAGAAGAGTGCAAGACTCAGATTAAATCCATGACTCAATCTTTAAAAGAAAAAGCACAAGAAAAACGGAAAGAACTCGAGCAATTGAACCAAAAGAGCGAGGAGATTAAACTGCAAGCAGCCTACTTAAAAAGCCAAGTGCAGACGAATGTAGATCAGGTTATTGCAATCATCGAAGCGTGGAAACAGGATGTTTTTAATGCAGTCGATTTTCAAGCGAAGAATATCACCGGAATCTCTCTCACAGAAAAAAGACCAAGTTGAAAATCAAGTAAATATTATTGAATCAGCAATTGAACAAACTTAGTTCTGAAATTCCTCATTCAGTGAAACATTTGATACAATCTTGCAGGAAGAGGGAACCCAAGGAAACCGTGACATTGAATGTATTCCTTGGTTTAGTTTCACTAAAAGTGAAAAACTGATTAACGAGTTGAACAGTGAAGGGATATGAAATATAAAAACTGTTTTAAGCGAAACTAAAATTCAACAATTAGGAGCTAAAGGTAAAGAAAGTAGTAAAGTAATTGTCCGCAATAAAAAGGGGCAAATGTTCGTAACAGTCCTCTGAAGACTCAGGTACAAACCAGGAGTTTCAGATCTGTGCTGTCATTTGGACAAGAAGGTGAGTCTTTTGGAATGCTTGCAGGGCTCTGTGGTGTGGCAGTGAATGATCAGGATGAAATTGCTGTAACTGAGTGTGGTAACCACAGGGTTTCAGTGTTTAGTACTGACGGTACCCACTTAAGATGGTTTGGTTGGGAGGGTCAGAATAATGGTGCATTCCAGTTCCCTTCATGGATCGCTTTTGATAGTCTTGGCAATATTGTGGTGCCCCCCCCCCCAAAAAAAAAATATTGTACTGGCAGACTGTGATAACCACAGGGTGCAAGTCTTTGATAGGAATGGTAACTTTGTTAGTAGGTTTGGTGAACTTGGAAGTCTTGATAACCAGCTTAGTGACCCTGAAGGTTTATCAATAAACGGCAAGGATAATATTAATGTTGCTGATAGAGATAACAAATTAATCAAGACATTCTCTTCTAGTGGGAAGTATTTATGTAAATTTGGTGGAGCAAGTTCTTTGGTCAATCCCTGTCACTGTATCCAACAGTGGCAATATTTTTATAGTCTCAGAGGAAATCAATTTTGTTCGATTATTTTGTTTAGACATTTTGATATGTCGAAATTGGTTGTGTTCTTGGTTATGTTCTACTTGTAAAAATATTTTGTCCATATAAATGATTTGGATTTCCACTGTTGGGTAAAAGTTGAGATTACGCTGGCGCCACCTTCCTTACATTGCCTCTATTTTATTTACACGCGTAAATACAATACTTGGAAAGAAAAACTGCAGCATATATTGAATTGACTAGATCCAAACAAAGCAATTAATTGAGATAATTTTCTCTTACATTGTAATTTCACATTATTACTAAATAAATTTGCAAATACTTCATATCTAGAAATAATATACTGATTAATATTTACATACTTTTTTGAAAGCATGATTTTTGAATGGGTTTTCACCTGTTCAATAGCGAGGACAGCCTGAATTGTCAATTTTGTCAGGAGCCCTGATTTTGTAACTAAACGGCTTATTTTTTTTACCTTTTTTCGGTAGTAATAGACATACATATTTCAGTTTCTCAAAAAGCAAAATACTATTCCCTGTAAATAACTTAAGTGGATTATTTTTTGTCTTAATAAACAACAGTGTAAATGCTTTGTTCCTTGTATTCAATGTCTCCAAATAGTCAAAGGCGGATTTAGGGGCGGGGGAGTGGGGACGAGGAAGCCGCGGCCACTCTTTTTTTCTTTGAAATTTTGTATCATTTTTATAGAATTCTCAGTTTATATAGCTGGCAAGTGTCCCGACCACCCCTTTCTGAATTTTCTGGATCCGCTCCTGCTAATGTTTGCATGTTTGCAATAACCTGCACAGGAAAGTCGACAAGGCCACTTAACAGCTAGTCTTGCTTCTTGTGTCACAATAGGTAGGTTTAATGATCAAAACAACAGCTCTACACGTGCATCACGCTTTTTAGTACATTTCTTTGACGTCCACTGGACTAGGACGTGAAATCTGCTAATTTGACGTTCTATGGAGGACGTGGACATACGACGACGAATTTTCATTCCTCTTTTTGAACTTGAATAAAATCCTTAAGAATTCAACTCCAGGAAAAGTCGCCTGTATTTGACATATTGAGCGGGTCCAAATAGACGCGACTAAGTTTGAAGGAGCGGAAATTCATTTTTTTAGGGACGTTTTCACTGCCGTCGTCTTCATCCTTGCTGAAGGTCCCTATTATTGTTGGTGATAAAGGTAGCAAATTCATCAAGATGCTCTGTTGTAGAGAGGAGTGTTTATGCAAATTTGGTGGAGCAGGTACTCATGTTTGCCAATCCCCATCACTGTATCCTACACAGTCAATATCTTATACAGTTGAAACACTCTACAACAGCCACCTTGGTGACAGAAAAAAGTGGCCATTGTGTAGAGATGACCGTTGTAGAGGCTAAAACAATAGTGAATGTATACGGAAAGTCCGCCTAAAAAAAAATGGCCGTTATAGAGAGGTGGCAGTTAGTGGATGTTCAAGTGTAGTCTGAAACTGTGCTTATCATCTCATTAAAATGTTGGATCCTGAGGGAAACGTTTGTAAATTTGGAAAACGGGACCAAGGAAGGAGAATTCAACTATCCTCGTTCCCTGTCAGTTAGAAAAGCAGGACCGTGTGTTTATGGTCTGTGATTCCACCAACCACAGAACTCAGGTGTTTGAACTGTGTGGAAAGTTTGTTCCAATTGGAAGTAAGGGTAGTGAGAGAGGAGAGTTTATGTTTCCAAGTTCAACAGCAAATCCCACTGATGCAGAGGGATATAGTGACACGCATAACTCCGCAGTCACCTTAAAATAATAACAACTGGTAAATCCATGTTGGAAATTATAGTGTTCAATTTGTTTTCAGCGTGATTTTTGAATGCGTGCTAACCTGTTCAATAGCCTGAGGCTCACATTTCTCTACCAAAAAAGAGAGGGGGGAATACTTAGCAAAATTTTACACGGGTAGGCTCTGCCCCGAGGTCCAACCTCTTTTTCCTTTATTTAATATTTTTAACAGAAAAATGACCTTTTTCGTTTATTTTTTGTTGACAAATGGTATCCTTTTCACACACTACTTTAGAACGCTGCTTTTCTTTTAGTCTCTGTGAATGCAATGTCTTTTAAATATGCATGGCACAGCCCATGTTAGCCCTTTTGGGTCCTTTCACAGACTGCAATGACAGGTATTCCAACCTTTTCATATACTTCAACTAATAAACCCCTAATGTCTGAGTTACCTGAAGCCTGAAAAAGCCTCCCCGTATAGCCCATCATAAGGAGTACCCCCCCCCCCTCTTCCCCACGCCGGGGGGCGTCATCCAGTTTTACGATTAAATTTTTCTTTAAAAGTCTCAAAACAGCAACATGTTATTGTCAGGCAATACCTTAAGAGAATTACTTTTTGTCTTATAATAAGCAATTTTCTATGAAGGAAATAAGGGAAAAGCAAGATTTCGATGCCCTTGCTTCTCGCTTCTAGCCTGCGAACACAAAAGTATTGCTTCTCTCCATCCGGGTGGAGAGAAGCGTCGACCGCAAATTTGTCATCTTTTGTCCGTGTCCGCAGGCTATCTCGCCTCTGGTTCCAACGCCATGATAAACTAAAGAGGGAAAGCAGTTTACTTGGATGCTAAGTAGGCTTCTCATGCGAGTTTGATTTGGAGGTAAATAGGGGCCATGGGGTACGTGAAGCTCTCTCTCTCCAATCCTCTTCAACTCACTTTTCTCACCGTCTCTTTGCCCTAGCCCCTCAGAGAACCTGCTCACAGACTATCAACTTATTTCTGGCTCTCGACGTTTAAGAAAAGTAGGGAGCAAACGGAATACAAAAACACTTGGAATGTGGGTTTTGAAGGTGATCACGCGGTTTAAAGGCAATCACGTAGATGACTGCTAGTCACGAAACTTTAACTTGATTTTAACTATTAGTGGTCACGTCCTGAAAATAAGCGTTCGAGAGACTTGCCGAGTTACCTTCGGCTTGTAATGACCACAGCTGAAGGCGAAAGGAAAAGGTATTAAAAATATTATCTCAAGATATAACCATTTTCAACAGCTAGGGTAGTTTTAGTAGCAATATCAGTAAAACTGCTTATCGATGAGCCACTTAAAACTGAAATGATCAAACTTTAGATGCGATGTCCCTTATTTTAGCTGTTTAGTTTTATTTCACTCATTCAGTTTGCCCTTTTTTCTATTTCCTTTGTTTCAGAATTTCTTTCACCAGCTGTAGTCGTTTCAATACACCGAGCATAACTTACCTGAGTAACTCGGTAAGTCTCTCGAACTTAACACTCACTTCTCAGATGGTGTCCACCACCAAGTTGAGAGTAGAAAATATTGACGATCTATCGATGAGCCACTCAAACCTGAAATGACCAAACTTGAGATAAGTTATACCTTCTGTTCATTTTCGTTTCATTCCTTGTAACACCTCACGGCACTATACAGTATTGTTACAGTTGTAATATTATACACCAGAAAGGTGATTATGTGGAACTGTACTACAGCTATATATAATCGACAGTTAATCAGGTCAGTATATCTAATATCCTTTACAGAAAGTGGAGTCTGAAGCTAGAGACTACAGTTCGTGTCGCGATTTTTAAGTCGGCTCACGGTCGTCTTTGCTTTTCACCGAAAAACTGGTGAGCGATCATTTTCAATTCTTCGATTTTCTCCTCAGGCAATACAAGCTGTTTTTAATTGATATATTCGCAAGTGGCAAGTTATTCTGCAAACGAATGGAGAAAATATACAACTACACCACACTGAGGCTTTTGTCGAGTTGAGAAAAACATTTCTCCAATCATTTAAGAAGAAATCCACATTCAAACTGTAAATGCTGTGCTACAATCGGTGACAAAATTGTTGAGACATTGTACTCAAATAGGGTAACTTCAGAGAACAAAGTAATCTACCCCCCCTTCTCCCTCCCCTCCATTCAAAGTTGGCGAGGGGTTGTTTTCTATAGGTAGCTCGAACAGCGGCACAACATTGCATGGGGGAGGCAAAAGCTATATTATTCCCCCCTTTTGAAGTCAGTAAAACGTAAAAAAGCCCAGTTTAGGGCAAAGTTTCTTAACTCATTTTGTCGCCGATTGACTTGGTAAGAACATAGGAAGCCACCCAAGAATTTTTTGCTCGCGATCCACTGAATGGAGTTTGCACGGCTTTAAACTAGAGTGGGGAAATGTATTCAAATGTACGTTTATTACGATCGAACAATTTGAAGACAGACTAGCCAGAAAATGAACCAATTAGAGCCAAGGAATTAACCAAAACTATCCCCTATAAAATTTGGGCCAATCATGTTACAGGGTTTTTTTCGCATGCAATGATCGTTGCAATTAATGGACAAAACAGGTCGGAGTTGAAATCTAGTACGTAGGCAGAAGCTGCGGGCGAGAACGTCTTCTTCTTCGTACCCGTTTCTCTGTTCGTGAGGTAAGATCTTGTGACCCTTTGTCTCTTTTCTTCCGCTTAATTTCCCATCATGTCGTCCTAGCCTTGTCGTTTTCTCTCCTACGCAAGGCAAATTCTAAAGATTAGCGACGTTGGGAGTCCCTGTTCAAAGTTAATCCACCATAATACACACCTTAGTATTCAGAACACAGCTTTCTGTATGAGTTACTTTTTATCTCCACGAACGAACAGGTGCACACAACTGACAGAGGAAAGATTTCTTCAGTTTTTGGCGATAAATTATCTTCATTGACGAATTTTCTATTGCACAACTATTGCTATACTAATGCTCTCGTGCACGAAGCCAGTTTAAAACCGTTTCAGTTACAATTGTTCACCGCCTCTCGTTTTTGGCAAGACAAGCTGCGTATCTTTCCTTCTTCTTTTTCTTTGAAAATTTCTAGGATAAGCAATAAGTACTTTCTCGTTAACCTAGTACGAGGAGTATTGCGGCACGTGGAAAAGCTTAGCGAGAGGTCCATTTTGGCTTATCCTCCGCACATGCCATAGTGTCGGCATCGTTTTTCACTCTTGAAGCTATCTCTGAGGATAATGAGAGACCAGTGCTAGTATTCTAGTTCGGATGTTAAAAAAAATTGGTCTTTCGATCCGGTTTTCCTTGTCAGCCCCTCGAAACGATATCCAATCTATCTAGTGATAATCTATTCAATTAATTCTACACAAAGTTGCAATTACGCAATAACTTATTCATTCGACAGCTCAAAACGATATGTCGCCACAAAGAACCCTATAGTTTAACTGCAGAAATGTAACAATCGCAGTTTTAATCAATCAAACTGTAGCCAGTAGCCGTTAACAAATCTCAGTGCCAGCGAAAGTATAATCCTTTGAACAAAATGAAAGAGAAATGAAAGTTTATAATTCAAGAACGCATCTAGAATGTATCATCAACTTATTTTGGATATACACCCCATTTTACTCGACTTGCCGGCCTCACGAATTCAGAAAAGCTGTTAAGCAAGCG